TTGGGATAGGAAAGTTCCGCATTTCACACTTACAAAAATAGCGTTGCGTGTATATATGAACGATAGTGTAGTCTTAAACTACTAGTACTTGAATCTTTGTAACATCATAAAATTTTTTTATAACAGTTTAACTGTTATAAAAAACCATTTAAAGATGAAATATGCAAAAATATATTGTAATATATATAGAACTTAAAATGCATAAATTCTTATGAATTCAACTTATATCTAGTTAATTTTTTTATTAGTCAAATAAAAAATATGCTCTAGCATGTTTTGATTGTCCTAATAATAATAATAAGCATTCATTATAGGAAAATTTTAATTAAAATGCTTATCTCTATGTTTAAATATTGTAAGTTGTCAAAATTTGTGCTAAATTAAAAATTATATAATTAATACATTTAAATATGTTTAACGAAAATTTAAATATAACAAAGAAAATAAAACAATAATATAAACAATAACAATGTATTAAAATATAAACTTACAACCATAAAATTATGAATACATATATTACGTTTAACTTAGCGCTTTAAAATTATATTTTTAAATCCAGAAGAATAATCCTTTTTCTGCGAAGAAAACTTCCAACAATTTCAAAATAAACATCTGCTAATATTAATCTGCTAAACGCTCAAAATAAAAGAAACACAATAACTAAGCAAGAGTATAATCAAATTGTCTCTTGTCTAGAACAGTCAGACACATTTGCAATCTTATAATTTAACGTTTGTAATGGATAATCAAAGGAAAAGAATCTTAAGTTCAAGTTCGGACAGTTCTTCATGGGAAGAGAAGTGGTTCATAATGAAGCATGATAATCAAGGGCAATGTTTGATCTGTAGAACCATTATGAATTCAAAGAAATATAATGTCGGAAGACATTATAACACAAAACATGGAGCCACTTATGACAAGATAGAAGGATCGGAACGAATTTAAACTTTTGCACGATTTAAAATCAGCTGTTTCCAACAATAAAGTAATTTTCATAATATACATACTATTATAATATAAAATATGCGTTTTTTACTGTAGTCAGTTTTAATTTAATTCATTATATTTAATTATACCCGGTAAAAAATTTTCGTATAAGAACATATATGCATATAAACATGTAATGAATAGAACATATATGTGTATAAACATATCGTAATAACTTCGTATAGCATACATTATACG